TTCCACCTTATCTACCTTCGTCTTTGATTCACTCTTCTGTCCCCCCCCCCTTCTTGAATTTTTTACATTTTGGTGTTCCTTCCCCTCTGTGAAGACTGAAGTCAACTATTAATGGTAACCATCATAACGCCTGCCATTTGATATAATAATAATAATATTCATTGCCTGATTGTTTACAATTGTCTATTGAAAGTTGTCGTGATGGTGCAAATCTTTTTTAGTATGCATGTTTATTACATTTGGGAGTTTAATATCTAATTAAGATTTAAATATAGCTAGTCCTAAATAAAAATCCGAATTGTTAGTATCATTCCGTTTAAAATTGCATTAATTCCCACGTGTTTTGAGACTTCGGTGCGTTCAGTATTCAATCATTACATAATTTACTCTCAAAATTTCAATTGCTGTTAGTTGTAGCCTAGGTTAATGAAGAAATTCTTGTTAAAAATATTAAATGTCTGCTGATCGGCCATTTGCTTATTTGTTGAATTCATTAATTTCTTCTCAGAGTATTGAAAGTAAAATGAACTTAACAGTACTAGGGTTGTGGTAGTTGGTGTTTTATTATTAAGGCAGTACTTTTGAAATTTTATTTTTTTCAAAATTCAGTACTTGCACTACCTATATATTGAAAAGCTTGAGCTGACCACTATTTCCATGAGGGATAACGAGACTAACTTGGTAAGGCAATAAAGTTGCCTTTCGATTGAATCGGAACTACTTCAAAGGCAGGAGTATGCAGCATACGTGTTGAGTTGAATTGTCTCCGATTTTGAGCGTCCACCACCTGTAGCTTCTACTAACCTAAGATAGGAGTAGCAGCACCACCCCAACTTTGAAATCATGTCAATTTGGAGGGGTTTCTTCTACTATCCAACAAGCATAACCATGGTTAGGGAATATGCAGACCACTGAAAACTCTCATTCTGGAAAGTCAATACCTAAATTTCACGTAGAAACGCCTTGAGTATTGAGCTTCAACCGACTAAATTGCCCAGAGGTCTGATGAATAAACTTGAACTAAATCATTACCTGAACAATGCAGAACTTAGTGATTTCAATATCTCGCAAACGGCTTCTCTTTTCTTGGCAGAAATAACATAGAAATCTAAATTATATCCTTAATGCAACATTGAATTTAATATTGAAAATGTGGTCAACCAATCTTAGAAGCACTTAAATCAATCTCATATTGGTATTTATCAGATTTCAAAAATCACTTTAGCATTTTCGTTTGCTTATCACTCACTTGAACAGATTAAGTAAAATGGGAGTCATAGCAACACTGAGAGGCGAACCAGTTTCTAGAAAGTTGAAGAATTATATTTGACGTACAGAATTAACCCCGGAATAATTAATTCAAATTACTTTCATCAATAGACTTTGGCATCTAGTTAATCTGTCACTGTAGGTGTAAGATTAAGACACTGATGAGAATTTATATGATCAGTCAATAGGGAGAAAGTGGTATTAATTGGTTGTTGATCAGAGAACGGTTCTGTTATTTAGTTTAAGAAAACTAATTTTGAAATGCCATTAAACTTTAAAATCGGTATAAAAGCTCTTTAGGAAGGTTGAAATGTGTTCAAATAGGGACCTTGGTATTTATTAATGAGATTGCAATCATTTCCCAAATCTTCTCTTCTGACAAGAACGGTACTTTTAAATTACGCTAAAGATCAAAGACTGTTGGGTGAAGACAGGATTTAGTTTCCTCTATCAGAATTGACAGGGGGTAATTATAAAATTAACTACTACCTAAAAGAGAAGACGAGTTGGGGGAGGTTTAAGAAACACGTCCAAACATGGACAGACTCAAACTAGTCTCGTATGAGTTTCAATAAGATTTTAATTATTCCAAAAGTGCTTAGTTATAGGCGCGTTGGAAAGTTCATAGACAACTTGTGCGAGTGTCAATGCGCTTATGATTCACTTCAATTGACCATCATGACTGAAGTGCGAAACTTATGAAGTTCCGAAAGGTTTAAAGATAGTGGATAAAGCCAAAGTACAAATCAATATTAATTAGAAATACATGTTGCATATATTTTAGCTGAGTTGGAGGTTAAATTAACCTATACACGGTAGATAATAAACTAAACCAACCATTGATTTAGCCAATAAAAACGTTTCAGAAAGTGAAAATACTTTCAAAAGGTTGTACTACGCACAAATGTCATTTAAAACCCTATTTATATCTCAATGATGTTATGTCAAGTCGGTGTCGTAATTGTCGAAAGTTAATTACTTGACCATGTGAAAAGTCATCAAAATTTCATTGTTAAAAAAACATAAAAAGTATATTTATATCGACGAGGCTGATTTGATCGTGGATTAATTTTAATTTGTGAATAATTTGGAAATTTTGTCATCGCTGTTTGATTACTCTTGTTCTTTTGTTCAAATTTGAGCACTAATTTTTTGATTAACTTAAACAACAATTATATTGTTCAGATGTCAGTATTCCGCCTACATAATTCAATATATCAACTTAGTCTTCTTCTTAACCGAATCAAAGGGAGGTATTGAATTTTGCAGATAACAGTTTGAAGAACGCAAAAAAAATTTCCTAGAATATATACTTATCTCGTTGGATCTCTATGATTGGTTCTGTTGTAAGATTACACATTTCTGAATCGCCCATGTATTCAAACACATTGATCTGTAATACTAGATATCACTCATTGAGTAGTCTTGATTTGTTTGAATCTATCAAGGTAGGTTTGGAACGAGTTCAGAAGATCATAATCATTAAAATTATCCACTCAAAATATTAATTAAACACTATTTAAGAGAATTCAAAAAAGCGCTCTCCAATCTGCCATAAGAATCATGCTCATGACAGTTTTCCAATATTTTCAATTCTCCATTGCAGAAATGTAGCACCTTAACTTAGCCGTATCCACCCGCAAATTCAGATAGATGTAGCCAAACGTATGAGTTCCTGCTTGTATCATTTCCCAATCGGTCTAAATTAGTTGGAAGTTTTTATTGATGGTCTTTTCATTCCACCAACAAGAACTAAAACACTGACTTTTGTAAATTCATAAATACTGATTCTGAGCGATATTCAGTATTCTTTTTTAAGTCCATTAAGTACAGTATTCCTCAGCAACCCTTAAATGTCATTTCCCATTCAAAATACGTTGGAAAACCAACTAAGATTGAAATAACGTATATTTATTCGCATAATGATTATATATATTAAATACACTGCAAATCAATTAACCGCTTAAAAATTTAAAGAAAAGAAAACAATTTTCCCAAAATGAAATTACCTATGTATCTATTATTTAGTACAATATAATCGATTTAATGATTAACCATAGTACCTTCTCCAGATGTAGAAGCCAATGAATTAGCTCAAATAACTCATATTAAATCATTATATACAGGTAGATCAAATAAGTACTGCTTAAAATTAGACATCACTTCCACCTCCAACCACCGTGACTTCCACACCTTGCCATTAATTCCAGTATTCAATCGGTTCTTCATCCTCTACATTCTTTACATACAAATACTTGGACCTAGGTTTCTTCGGCAATTCTGCAGTTACAACTGTCAACGAGTCCGTTTTAGTTGTTCGGGGATGAGATGAGAATGATCCTCTATGGTCATAAGGCGATCGGTAAGAGTACAAGGAAGTGGGCTGAAGGATAAAGGATGGATTATCTCTAGGGGAAGGTAGAGGTTGAGCCTTTTGAACGACTGAATTTTGAGTAGAGGCTGGAACTGGGGAGTAAACAAGTTGAATGGGACCTCTCAGCTCATCTGGGCAACAGAGGCCACAAAGTGACGTTCCACGCGGAGAGGATGAGAAGTAGAAGAAATAGAGTTGTAGGAAAATTGCCCCCATCCATTGAACTGTTACTACGACTAAAAGTGTTGGAAGATAATACCAAGCAGCCGTGAAGGGATAATTCTTGTACCAAGCTCCTATCATCGCTGCATTTTCGAGGTAGTAAGCGAAGTAGTAGAGAATCACTCGAAGGCGAGTTTTACCAGCACTGCCATTGAAGAAATCATAGATGCTGACAAATGTGTAGAGGAGATCCGTACTCAAGTGACGAAGTATGCCTTTGGACTGAAAAAATTAGAGATAAGATTTTTTGGCCCATGCACTAAAACAGGCTTTGAATGGGGGAGGGGGTGGGGGGAGGTTACAACCTCTATTGTCTCTGAATGCGACTATTGTCATACAATTACTGATCTTATCTCCTCCGCTGAGCATACGTGGCGTCGTTAAACTACTGGATGAAATAAATGAAAACGAATTCGATGTGTACAACGAAATTGGACGACAAGTTGTCTTTTGCAAAACCTTGATTCTTCCATAATTCATTCAAAATTAAAACGACTCGATAAAACATAGTGGTTAGTGATGTATTTCAGTGTCTTTACAGTCAAAACCTCCTCCCCTTAAAAGTACACAAGCAATTTTGTTTGTATTCCATAGAGTTAAACCAATTACATGGTTGGGACACTCGAGATCTGAAATAGATATAAGAAGACAGGAGATGGTATATGCTAAAGGGAATGTGATACACTTTTTAGGGGATTTGATATTTTACCCACCAAATCAAAGTCCCAAAGTAATATTTTATCGAATTAAAATACTTTAGGTGGGTTGGAGGATCGTTAAAAATGTAACAATAATAAATAATTGACGTTCTTCGGTCTAGAAGTGAATACTTATATTGGTAAGAGGAAGCCGATAAAGTAAGGTGTAAATCCGTGCAGTAGAAAGAGGACCTATTCATATTCTGCATATTTCCATGGAGTTTATCAACCTAATCAATATGTTGAACGTGGTGCACCCTGGACAACGTATCTTCGAACGGCAAAAAAGTCTATCACTCGGTATTTGATTTGACTTCGATTTATTATGATTAGCTTGAAAAAAAGGCTATAAGAGAAATCGCCCTCGTCAGGGCAAATCACAACGTCTTCAGATCCTCCAGTGGAATGCTGGAGGGATCCAAGTACAGAAAATCCTAAGGGCTAATGATAAATATCATAAAGCCTGCCATTTGAAATAAATATTTATTTACTTATATCAAATGACAGGCGTCTTAATGGTTATCATTAGCCCTTTAGCCGACTTCAGGCTTCACAGAGGGGAAGGAACATCAAATTGAAAAATAGTCGAGAGGGGGGCAAAAGAGTGTTTCAAAGATGTAAGAGACAAACACAAAGGTCGAACAAAGGTGAGATGAGTACTGTGAAATAGTCGAATATGGCATAGAGTGAGGTGATGATAGTTTGAAGTGAGAAGTCAACTGCCAGTTAATAGACTTTTTTGC